ACCCACTTATCATTCGTGAATAACAAGATTTTGTGACTGAGAACGCTATTAAATCATACATGATCCGCGAGAATATCCCAAGGTATACTTACTTAGTCATGGTAATAATGATGAGTGTTTATAGATATAAAGGGTTGAAATGGCCTATATTTACGACTGTCTATTTATAAACACTTTGCGATGATCTTTGTCTGTGTTTTATCAATGATTGCTGATGTAATCCGAGCTGTGCGATGGTTTGTTCCGAACATGCTGAGTGGACCTGATGGTTTTTGCCGTCTTGAGTTTCGATGGTTCTCCTGTATACATAACTGTACAAGAGGCGGCTTGTCAGTGACGTATTAAGACTAATATCAGATTTTTACCCATCACACTCCTCCCTTGTCTGGCTGTGAACTCCCTATATAAAGTGACAATTATAAATTTGTTAGATAGGCCATGTTTATGTAACATAGAGATAGATAAAGGCAGGAGGTTGTTCTACATCGGAGGTGGGGGGTTGGGGCTGTCCTGGGAGGGGCTGTGAATTGAGAAATGGGGTTTCACATTGCATAGAAGTAACATTTTGTAATGGGAAGTACGTTTTGTGATGGAAGGGATTAGACTGGCTACCAGATCTAAAGTGTTTTGTAAAGAATTGTCCAGCTGCGTTCTTTCATTAGCTTATTTTCCCTTGTTTGAAACTTGCATCCAAGAGATCAAAATTATAAAAAAAAAAAATTTAAATAAAAATTCTAGAGACAATTTAAGAGCCAGTCTTAGGAAGAGAGTTTTGTATTGAGAAAGTGGGTTTTGCATTGCAGAGAGGTTGTTTTGTGATGGGAGAGAGTTTTGCATGGGAAGGGAGTGGGTTGGGTTGTAGCATTGCAAAGAGACTGTTTTGTGTTTGATGGAAGGTTTGCATGGGTGATGGAGTTTGTTGGAGTGTTACATTTCAAAGAAGATTTCCCGTGTTAAGATTGAGTTCAGCATTTGTACCAGAGTTGAGTTAGGTGTTGCTTTTGGCAGAGGTTGTTTTGTGTGGAAAGGGTACTGTTTTCAAAGCTTTACCGTTGTATGTGTAATTTCAGTTGCAGATTAGATATATGTCATAGTCAGGCATTGAATTCTTAAGAATGAATTGAAAGTTACAAATAAGGCAAGAAATGACCGTTTTACATAATAAACAAAACTTGTATTGTAATCCAGTCAAAAAACAGCCCAGCATTCAGTCTGTACAATATGTTGCATGTGGTGTTGAGATCCTAAAATTTTCTACTGAAAAAAGGGAATAAGTATTCATACATTGTATTTCTGAATCAGAAATTGCCGTCACTAGCTACATGTACAATACAAGCTAGTAAAGTGGACGTTAAAACCAATCAAACAAACCACAGAATTAAAAATAAAACCGAAAGTTAGGTCAGGATAGACATTTAATGAAGATTTTGTCATTCTAAAAACAGGAAAGGAACTGATGATGATTGGGTGTGCTCTCGAAGTAATTGAATAACGTATAAACACATGACCAATCCAGGTTGAACGTCCCTTGGTATAAACGCAATATGGGTTTGGTTGTCCCTGATGTAGTTCGGGAGAAGCCAGAATGTCTGTGGCGTTAGCTGTGACTCAGTGTTTAGAAGTCTACACCCTTTCTCATCACTAACACACAGAAGCTGGTTTGTTGCTAATTTGCCTCCTCTCAGAAACATGTGTACCTGCCAGTGGTGATATAATGCTTTGAGAGATGAGCACAAAAAATGAAATTGATCCTACCGAATGTTAAAAAAAAAATCTGCTTCAAGGATGCGGCATGAAATAAAATAATGAAAATGGTATTGCTGAATATTACTTTATTTTTTGTCTTGCTGCAGGACTTAATTAGTTGTAATTAACTGTTTTACTCAAGATTTAACTCTGCAGAATTGTGCATTTAGTGTTGAGTTGAAGACTTAACAGCTACCATTTTGCGGGGACCAGAACTAGCAGTTTCTGCATGGAGTGCTGTTTTCTGCCAAATGTGATTACGGCTACAAGTTTTTGCAACGATAATCACCTGTTTTATTAGAGGATTTTAAAGTCCTGAGACAGTGATTCGAATAAATGTAGCATTTGATTAAATCTGTGAAAGTGGTAATTGAAAATGATAGTATCTGCATCAACATAATGTTATAAACAACGAAAAACAATCTCTTAACTGTTTAATGACTAACTGTTATGACTTCTAATTCAATAGTTGGTTAATTTGAAAAAAATGAAAAACATTAATATCTACTTATATTTTGACTAAAGATATTTCAAATGCACTGAATAAAGTTGGTTAATTGAAAAAAGGATACAACATCTATTAAGATGGTCACTAACATAGTTTCTAATGTTATACATTTTAGGGATGATTTAGATGAAGCAAACAATTAGTAACTCGAGATCTTTAGTTCAGATTTCTGGTTTTAACTCATTCACCCCTGAAGTCACATTTGAACTCTTCCAATTCAAAGGACGAAATAGTTCATTATGAAATTTACGAGGGTGAATGAGTTAAGTGCTAATTCTAATGTAATCAGAAGTGCGATTTGTGTGTCGTTAACTAGGTGTAACCATTACCCTGATATCCTCATCCCCTATTGTATCTCGGGGTTTAATTTGTGTCCGATTTGTGCGTCGTTAACTAGGTGTAACCATTACCCTGATATCCTCATCCCCTATTGTATCCCGGGGTTTAATTTGTGTCCGATTTGAGTGTCGTTAACTAGGTGTAACCATTACCCTGATATCCTCATCCCCTATTGTATCTCGGGGTTTAATTTGTGTCCGTTGATATCCAAAGAACTCAATCTCAAAATGTTTAGCTGGTTGGTATCTCTACATGCCTGGCTGTGAATCGTTTTTGCTTGATCCAGATCGGGTGGGTTTTTTTACCGTTACAGTCAGCACCCAGTGGCTTTAGGGTTAAAGAATTAATATTTCATGCTCGTAACTGTCACTCTGGTCGACCGCCCACTGAGGAACCACCTCGTAAAGGTTAAAAAACACAAATACCAGGCTTGACCAATAACATCTGGCCCATCTTGACCAGTAGATAACTGGTCCAAAACAAACCGGTTTTATCTTGATGGTCCTACAAATGTATGGCACCATCATCGACCACACAATTTGATATATGCATTTCAAATTTTACTGATACCGACTGGGATGGGTATAATTTGAATTTGACTGCCGCTGATTGGTTAATAGGAGCTGGACCTTGAAGAAGGAATATTTATGTGAGAATCACTTGAAGAATTTCGTCAAATTGCTGTAGACCAGACGCCTACATAAAATCAAGGATTTATAGAGCAAGAATAACAGACCTATCAATGTTCTGGCTGTTTGCGGATAAAGTTTTAAATAAGACGTTTTTTCACCCAAAAGCAGACGGCATGCCTTGCCCGGTGCTGGTTTGTAATGTAAATTTTGACAGAAGATAAAGAATTTTGACAGTAAATCTTGTTTCGCCATTTGAATGTGTATATAAAACCAGGAAAAGATTACAGATATTTGCCGTTGAAGATATGCAGCACCACAATCACCGTTTCTTAATGGCATTCAAGGATGCTTTATAGCAGAAAGTCACTCGATAGAGATTGGGCTTAATCTTTAGTTTTTTGGACAATTGGCCAGCCGATCAACCGGTCAAGGGATAAGGACTTTTGGTGATATACCTACACCCTTTACAGTGAATAAAATAGTGACAATTTTAGTATTGAACAGAAGGATAAAGTCAAATGATAAGAACCTTTCTGTTTAGACCTAACATTTGTAGTGTCAAAAGAAGTGTACAGAACGGAAGAAACAGAAAAAATCTTACAAAATGAATTTGTACAGAATGGAAAGATGAGAATGACGTTTTGAGTCATGAATTTAATGGATTGAGGTACACAGCTGTACAGTACAGGACCGCAAGGCAGTAATACGTATCTGATGCTGTTTCTCTGTTACGGAACGTCACAGATATATCAATATATATACAAACACTGTTTTTCAATCAGTTTTTCAACCCCCTCCCCACTAGATTTAATATGATTTATCAGGGAAACGTTCTTGGCAGAGTATTGGAAGTTTGGACATTAATCTTTCATCTTGCATGTACTTTGTACTGGCTGTGTATCTGAGGCAGCTCTAGCGGGGTAGCACACCACAGTGCCTGCGTTTCTGTCAGATCCCAACCACGTCTGGAGCAAAAGGGCAGGTATCACCAGCTAGTTGTCATTCATTATTGATACTGATCACTCATTTCGGCCAGTCTCGATCACTCACCTCGACTGACCGTGATAAGCTTTTGTAGAAATCGGATATATTGATCTTGGGCACGTAAATGTTTGAATCCCTAGGGATTATATGTGTCATTTTCTATTGAATTAGCGATACATTAGTGTGTACTCTTGGACCAGAACCACATGTGAAAGTGGTCATGATTGGACATTACCGGACGCTATATTGGATGTCGCCTTCATTCAGTATCACAAGTCCGTGTTTTATTGGATTTTTTCGTATGTTCAGAGACAACTCCATGCTGTTGACCACGAGCTGTTAATGAAATTTCATCTAATTATGGATCTCTAATAGTTTGACCTCTCCTAAGACCGATCTTGTATGTGTGCATAATGATACAAGTAAACAGATGGATGCTAGTCTCCATGTATATATTTCTATGTTCCTGGTAATAAGATCTTTGCTGCATCTATCACGAAACTTTGATTCCAACCTGGCACCTTTCATCCCTAATATTTACAAATAGGCTCATCCTTCCATTCATTCTGGGGGTTAGAACGGAGCTGTGGAGGGGAGAACAGTTTCTGCCTTTGTGTGATTTTTTTTTTGTGAAATATTAGAGACTTTTAGTTATTTAATATTTTAGACAAAAGAAAATCTTCTTTCTTGTTAAATATTATGCACAATTTTATTGTATGTGCATGGGGAAAAATACCAAGTGGCTGTATATTTGGTCCCGAAATCTTATAAAAGTTAGTGAGTCGTTCAGCTGCACTGTCTAGCTGATAAGAGTGTGTGAGGGAGAGGAGCTGGATTTATGGATGCCTGTACAGTGTGATGTGTCTAGTGGCTGTGGAAGGACCCAGTGTGTAGAGAGTCCTGCATTCCTCTACGCGGAGTAAAGGATGGAGATGTCAACACCATCTTAAGTATTTGTCGCACTGCTTTAAGTGATGACGGAGGACATTAGATATAAAGGAATTCAGTTCATATCCAGTGTGGGACCAGATAGCTTATTTACACCTTATTTCATACTCATATTTTTTTGTGTGCGATTTGATGTATATACAGACCATTGATCATAAACAAGGCTATAATTACTACAATAGCGTCTTATTTCTAATGCTAGAAACATGAGTTTTAAATCATATTTGATATTTGTATCATATGCATATTGTTCGTGACTGTGTGCAGGTTGATACATGGACTAAATAGTCAAATTATATATGGACTAGTGATCTTAAAAGGATTATATGTCTCGTGTACATGTTACATACATGAACTGCACGGAAAGGATTCTATCTACTCTATTAAGTTATCATAAATATCTATCACTGCGCCAAAGTCTGCACGATCCTTTTACAACAAGATCTGCCGTGCGTGTGGGCAATGGATAATTGCCATATTGTCGGTTTTACATTTACCTGATTTGCCGTTCCTCCTTTTTGATTTTCGTGAATCTCCACCCAGCTGTAACATTTTCTATGATCAGAAATGCCGGCTTACATCATTCTCAAGGCTGTGTGGAAGAGATAACAATTTGACAATAATAATGAGGTCACATTTTATAGTCCTCCTAACAAGACCAGGGATGTCACTTGTAGTTATTTTGTAGACACAAATTTATTCTGATATAGCAGTTTTACACTCTGTCGCATTAATCAGAAAAATCTTCTACATAGATTACAAGTTATTACGAGGATAGAACAATTTTCTCAACAGGAAAGAATTGCTCTTGACATAAAAATGTCCCACTTTCCCAATGGGATGTTGCAGTCTGTGTAGAAGCGGGACATAAACACATTTAGATCTTCATTTGGTTGCCTCAGTGTGCGGCACTGGATTGTCTTACCCGCATTAGCTGGTAGCAGTGCGTTTACAGACAAAAGGATACGATCTTATAATTAGAAATCAGACATTTCAGTCGGACAGCTGGTGGGCTTGGCTGTAAAATCGTGACAGGTGACATTTGCTGCCGTGGAAGTGTGATTACAGGCGGCCTTATCATCATCCGTCGGAATTTCTTGTTCCGTTAGAATGTGTCTGACATTAGAAAACGACACTGCTAATTACACAGAGTTGTGATATTAGGGATATTCGGATTTCGATTCTACTGGCTCATATCTTGTTTTATGAAATATTTTTTTTATGAGGAAAGTGCATAATTAACAAAAACACGTCTCACTCCTGGATTGATTCATAATGGACTATAAAAATCACATATAAATTGATAAGGACAAGAGAAAAAGATTTGGAGGATATTGTATTGTATGAACAGGACTCAGACGGAAATAGACATCATGAATTTCAACAACCAGTCGATGTATATGTATACGTACTCGTCACAGACGTATGAATTCCACAGCTGTCATGTTGACTATTACTACAGGTAAGTCCTGCTATGTCGAGTAATTAGTAGACTCGTTAGGGCCGTAGTGTTCTCGTTGGACCTGGTACTACATTAAGTAGGTATCTTGGCACCAGATCGTAGTCCTAGATACCAGCAATTAACCTTGTATCTGTGACACAGGAAATCGTTACTATGTTAACAGGGCCTCTGACACCCTCATACTCAGACGCTGACATTACCAGACAAGTCAGCCGCACTCTCACATGGCACCAGTAGATAAATCCAGTTAGTATCTACTTGGCGAAAGGCAGGTTTTCACGTCTTTGAATAAAGCCATCATTCATAAAAAAAAAAAAAAAAAAAAAAATTCCAGTAAATATCTATTTGTTCTCTTAGATATTAGATATCAAGATATTATTCTAATAAAAAAAAATCTGTTTTCAAAGTTCTCTGAAGGTGAAAGTGCACTACGGTTGTTTAATTAATTGCCTATTTAAGTTGTAACCTAACCTAGGACAAAGTGTATTATGTGAACATTGATATTTTGTGCAGTTATCAATTGGTAATTTTTTGCTAGAATGCAGATTTTGTGCATCTATTACCATATGTTAAAGTGGTTTTCAATATATGGTGGCAGATTTATCAATTATGTTAAACCGTTTTGAAGTTGATGGCCCTACCAATAGTCAATTAAAAATGCAGGCGGTATAACTGTATAAATAAGATGGAAAATGAATCCTGTATCGGTGATATATACCATGGTATAGTAATGAAATCAATTAACATATATACATTAATTAAATTGTGTGCAGCTGTGGTTTAAAAATGAATTTCTAAGTCATCACAGTATTATCTAGTACTTATAACCTGTCTACAATGTGCTTTAAAAACCCCGATATTGTCTTCTTTCACCTGAGTAGGAGATAAAGACATTGCTGCCAGTCGTATATTTATAGAGTCATATACTGTGATGATTTTGGGAGGAATTCGTAAGTCATCACTCGGTATTATTTAGTACTTAGGTACATGAGTTTTGGCGGTATATGAAACTTTTCGACATTATGGCAAACCGCTGTATTACCCTCTTCCATCTGAGCAGGAATTCATAGACAGCAGTGCTCTGTGTGTGTTCCCAGCTAGGATTTACACCCATTGTCACTAGACATATCTTCCTGTAAGTGTTATGTACTTTGACAGAGTACTTCTGAGTGTTACACCTTTCTGTTGGGCTACATCCAAAGAATGACAGTCTTTTCAAGAAGCTGTGTATTACTATTTTGTTTTCAATGTACAATTTGCAAGGAGGAGTTAGTCGCATACCAGTGAAAAGTACCATTAGTCCCTACTGAGCATTTTAGCTCTTTCTGTATTAGTATTTCTTTCCGTATGATGTGTCCATGCAACAGAATCCAAGGTTACCATTGGAGGTCAAAGGTCAAGTTATGCTTACTTGCAAACTTTTTGAAATTTCAATTGGGAAAATTATGCACGCTTAGAATTAAAAGCATAGATAAAATATGTGCATATACAACCTAGGGATGAATCATCAGATCATAGGAAACGGGTATAGTTTAGCAATTCACAGGTTGAAAATGCTCAATTTTAAGGTCCAAAATTTAGGGTCTCCCTCCAAGATGGGGATAGTTGGCAAGTATGAGTTATGTATTGATTTGCAATGAACATTGATCGATTATTTTCTGAGAGATTCTCTAACTTTCCGAAATAATCTAATGTTGATGTAAGACACGTTATGAGTGCTTGTCAGCATTGGTGTCACCAGGTTTTCACTTGATAGAGGTGATCACAACAGAAAGGTGGTCTTATTACAAAGGTAATTAATATCACTCGTGTATTTAGGTTTCCCGACGTACTAATATTGTGTTGGAATATGAACAGCTGGGCGTTATTGGCATTGATTGAGGCTCGAGTTTATTACATCTGTCACTGACATGTTTAATTTGATCAAATAATCCAAATGCAGCATGCACATGTTCAGCTCTGTTTAAGCATGTTGTAAAACATATATAAATCACTCAATATCAAACTTAGCATATTCGTTCAGTCATAAATATGGAAACAAAATTTTAATTTAAAAGTCCTATTAATCAATTACTTTTACCTTCATTTCATTTATAAATGGACTGACCTGTTCCAGCCCTACCATTGTCATTAGAAGGGGTGATCAGGTTAATGTCTGATTAAAATCCTCCCTAAGAAAAATCCAATGGCCTTTTATGGCATCGTATCAAAGCATACACATGCCTTTGGTGTTTTCTTGTCAGGTCAAATGAATAGCGTTGTCTTCTTATTGATTGTAAAACATGAATGCCCATATTAGGAGTTGTCACTACTATGGAGCCGACATGATTGATATTGATTTGTTTCGCCAATATTAAGATATGGAGAGAAAAAAACACGAAAGGAGAAAAAGTATTACAAACCATAGCCCAAAGACACACAAGTATAATGTCGGGGAAAATGACAAAAAAAAGGGTCGAAAAACCTATTAATCTCGAGTTGATAGTGATTATTGTCATGGTAACAGGAAATCTGGAGTCCTCCTGAATCACCTGCTTTCAGGTGTACTACGATATTGATTATGTTTCACATTCATTTGCAAACATGTTCTTACACACACGTACACCCAATCACCGATACACATGTGTTGTCTCACTGTGTCTCAACGGGGATGTATCATCTCCGGTCTCCAGATCCATATCAGAAAAAATAAGGGTCAAGTTCCTCGAAATTTGGTGTGAAATTTCTATGGATTGTACAGCATGAATGACCGGAAGAAAGGAGAAAAACATTTAGATGACCAGGACGTTATTTGTAAAGTGAAATCGGTGTCTAGGGGCCGTGTTCGTCACAGGAGAAGGTACCGTTGATTAACACTGTATTGATTTGGGGCCAATCTTTGTTCGTAGCTCACCATGGGAGTCGGCACTGATCCGAGGGGTTACCTGTGTAATGACCTGTAATATGGGGCTAATGCTTTTGTCAATATAGAGCGGTGTATTCACATTTATCCAGGAAAGTTATTAATCTGGACCAAAATTCCTGTACTCAAATAGCTTTACCAGGTATACAGTGTTTATGCTTGGCAATAGTTTCATATCTTTTGGTGATATTGCTAACTAGTTACATTCATAGATATTCATAATTTTTCGTGTTTCTTTAAGAAAAGGGGTTTTATTCTGTTTGCAGAAAAATAGCAATTTTATGAAATTGTGCAGACATAGAGTCCTATTATTTAGCCAGTAACTTGCAGAAATATAGTGCCAGGAAGTTGGTGAAAACTAAGACCACTTCAACAAACAAGCATCTTCAGGCCTCTTGGGCCTATTTGTTTGAAGAAAAAACATAATGAAATTGTGTGCAAACACTCCATGAAACTGAACTACAGGTGACTTTTGTCTTTGTCTTTGTTTGTGTATGGTGCATACATAGGCCTTGCCATCTGGTGATGAAGATGTTACAAAGATATCTGTATCTTTAACTCATTCACCCCTGAAATATCGTAATGAAGTATTCCAACCTTTGGTTTGGAAGCGTTCAAATTTGCCTTCAGGGGTGAATGAGTTAACATTCAGGTGTAAGACCTAATAGGATATCTTCAAGACAGGTGCCTTCTCTACGGGAGCTAGTATTTGTTTACTGCTGTTGGACACAAACCATTTCTCAACAATTTTACGTCTTATCATCAACATTTCAGCATAATATTAAGAATATCTTGAGAAGATTTGACCACAAAAATGATGATGAGTAAGACTGTCTTCCAATTCACTTCAAAGAACCTAAGACCGGCTTAGGATTGGCGAACATGACTGTACCCAATTAGTAGTCAGTGCTAGTTTTCAAGTTTTCAAGTAGTGTCAGATGGAATGAACTGGGAAAAAACATTCCTACTCCTTATGTTCGGGGCAGTGTTTGTTTATGAGAGGTTTGCTACCCTGAGCTTCCACTATCCCATGTCTGTTTCTCCTGTGGATTCGTAGATAAAATAGACTCTAATTAGCCATTTTTTTATTTGGACAGTGCAGGTTGTCGGACAGACTTCCCCCTTCACTCTCTCCTATACCTCCTCATTAGAGAACGGTAGGGGGAGCTTTGTCAGGAGGTGATCCATTCCACTCCTGTGTGCCCTCTTGATTCCTACTTTCCACGGAATGGTTCCGTACAATGCCCTATAAAAAAAATTACAGCTTTTTTATTAGACAAATAAGAGAGGGATTTTTACCTGTTTCGAGTTTGATTTAAAATAAGTCTGACTTTCGTATCATTAGAGTTATGACATCCATAGCTGAAATTAAACAATATTTCGTATATTTTTTAATTTGTTTGCAAAGAACAAAATTAATATTACTAAGTACAATACTTGTAACAGTAAAAACACACATTATGTATATATGTTTGCCTGCCTAGACCACTCTCACTGAATATAAATATTGGGTGAAATGTCTGAAAAAAACATCGCTTCATGTTTAATAGAGATTTATACATCATCAACTGAGCACACGCTGATCTTGTAGTCCTACACGTGTGTAAGGGAAGTTGTGGTGCTGGAGGTATTTAATTTCTGGTTGCATATTACTTACCATGTTGTACCAACTTTATACCATTACCGTAATTTACTGGTTAAAGCCCCCGCCCTCCCCAGTGGTTTTGATTGGAGAAAACCAACCTTGTATGATCATGTTTTTAGATCTTTGGGTATTTTGGAGTTTATTTTCTAGTATTGAATATTTAGAGATTAATACTGATTATGTAGATGTTGTACCAACATATACCGTTACCATAATTTACTGGTTAAGGCCCCCGCACTCCAGTGGTTTTGAGTGGAGAAAATTGACCTTATATGTTTAGAGTTTATTTTCCAATATTGTTTATTTCGAGATTTATACCGTTTTTCTATCAAAAATACCCATAATCCAAAATCCAAATGATTTGTCAAAAAATCCCCCACTTGATCAGTTAATATATATAAATGTTGTGTGGCGGATTAATTGAAAAGAAGAATTTGTGTGTTGTCTTGAAGG